CAAGTAGTTTGTAACAAACCTAATAGTATCAGGCTGTAAGAGTTCTTTCTTTGAAAAATTTCTCATTAATGCTAAAACTCATGAGTGGTTGTAGATAAATTTGTTATTTCTGTGTTATGATCAAGACATGCTTGTACTGAAGCAAGTCATCGAATTTCTCTAAAATCAAATCAATACATTGTGCAAAATTTGTTGTCCAGTATATATCTTGTGTTTTCTCAATTAATTTTTTTCTAGCCATCTTATGAGCACTTGTGTTATCTGTAACAACTGGAATAACAAAATACTTTCCAGTCTCCTGTAGGATTCTATCAAGAAGTCTAAAAATATAGTTCACATCTTTAGCCTTATCCAATGCTTCAACAAGTTTCAAGAAAATAGTATTGTGGGATTGTTAACCAAAGTATTTATCAAACTTCTATCCTCAACATCAGGACAACTATCAACATGATCGCCCCTCTAGTCTAATTCCAAGTTCTCTTAGTCTCCTTGATGCTCTTTTCAGTATTATTCAACTCCTACTTTAACACCTAAGTTCTCGATTATAGTATCAGGCTGTAAGAGTTCTTTCTTTGAAAAATTTCTCATTAATGCTAAAACTCATGAGTGGTTGTAGATAAATTTGTTATTTCTGTGTTATGATCAAGACATGCTTGTACTGAAGCAAGTCATCGAATTTCTCTAAAATCAAATCAATACATTGTGCAAAATTTGTTGTCCAGTATATATCTTGTGTTTTCTCAATTAATTTTTTTCTAGCCATCTTATGAGCACTTGTGTTATCTGTAACAACTGGAATAACAAAATACTTTCCAGTCTCCTGTAGGATTCTATCAAGAAGTCTAAAAATATAGTTCACATCTTTAGCCTTATCCAATGCTTCAACAAGTTTCAAGAAAATAGTATTGTGGGATTGTTAACCAAAGTATTTATCAAACTTCTATCCTCAACATCAGGCCAACTATCAACATGATCGCCTCTCTAGTCTAATTCCTAGTTTTCTTAGTCTCCTTGATGCTCTTTTCAGTATTATTCAACTCCTACTTTAACACCTAAGTTCTTGATTATAGATGGATGGTGGTCTCAAGCCTTGATCATAGTAATCAATGAAATGAATATATTGAAATACGAAGGAGAGTTTATCACATTGAATGGAATAACATTTTCGTAAAAGAACCTCCCAATATCCATGCAAGCTTGCACGCCTCTGGCAATTTCAGGAGTTGACAACCCTTGCATCTATGCTGTCCTCCACATTTTTTTATGCATTGATTAATAGGTGTTCTGTTACCTCTACATGATGTCTGTGGCAAAGTGGATATCAATTTTTTGTTATTAGGCCTGCTTACATAATAAGGGCCAACATCCACTTATCGTCAAATTGTTGTTGTGTTAAATGGTTTGATATAGTGGACTTCTTTATGTATGCACGAATCTCTTCTTTAACCACCTAAGGTGCCTTTGCAAACGGTACGATATTCTTGTGAGAGCCTGAAATGTGTTTATTCATTCAGGTAACTACCCCTTTGAGAACTTTCACGCAATATTTATACTTCAAATATGTTTAAGTTTTATCATTTCCTTCAATTTCAACTTGCACGGCTGCACCCTTTACCTTCATGTCAGCTCTTTTCTGTTCATGGAGGATCATTCTTCTAATAACCCTTTAATGAAAATAATAAATTGGATTTAGGTCATTGGAAGGAAAGAAAAAAATTAGGAGGTGATGATAGCCACAACTGCTGAGGGCAGAAACTGTGATGGCTAAAAAGAAGGCTGACAGCTGTAAGGAGGGTCAGTGGTGGTAGCTGCAATGAACAATCGTGGCAGCTGCTGCTGAGAAGAATGGCAATTGCTGCAAAGAGAGCCGGCGGTGGCAACAAAGGAGGCTAGTGATGGCAGCGGCAGTGGCGTTGATTGTTGAAGAGAAGAGCGATGAGTTCCTTCTATCAGATGAGTAGCCCGAGAGCTGTGTGTGAGGGGCGTGAAGGTTAAGTGGGGATAAAGGTGTGTTTAACACTTGCTAAAAAAACTAACCTACATTGAACATGCTTCACACATTGTGGGGCGAGTCATGCCTCAACAGGTGTGAGGTGTACACCTCACGTTGAATCAATGAGGCCTAGTCCTCATTGCGGATTTTAGGGTCAAAGCGCTGGGGCTTTTCTCTCTCTCTCTCTTATTGCACAATTTCAAACAACTTCAAAAAATGTGTAACATAATCCAGTGGTATATTTTCTTGTTACTTTTATGAATTCGGGAGAATTGACCAAATATTTTCCTATTTCAGTTGGATTAGATCAGGGATCGGCTCTAAGCCCGTGCCTTTTTGCTTTAGTTATGGATGCTCGTATTAGACATTTACAGGAGGATGTACCTTGGTGTATGCTTTTCGCTGATGATATCCTCCTTGTGGATAAGACTAGAGAAAGTGCTTTGGGAAAACTTGATTTATGGAGGTCTACATTGGAGTCTAAAGGCCTTTTTTTGAGTAGAACTAAAACTGAATACATGAAATGTAATTTTATTAGCAGCTCTAGTGACAGAGTTGAAAGTATGGGTGATCGAATTATTCAAAGGTGTGAACGCTTTAGATATCTCAAATCTATTGTTCAAAGTGATGGTGATATAGATGGGGATGTTATTAGTAGAATTCAAGTTAGTTGGTTGGAGTGAAGGAATGCTTTGGGCCTATTGTGTGATAGAAAAGTACTGCTTAGACTGAAAGGAAAATTTTATAAAATGGTGGTGAGGCCTGCAATGCTCTATGACACAGAATGTTGGCCTTTAAAAGAGAAGCATAAAACTAAGTGTTGTCGAGATGAGAATGCTTAGGTGGATGACTGGCTTTACACTTTGAGAAAAAAGGAGAAATGAATACATCTGTTATAGGTTGGTGTAGCTCTAGTGGTGGACAAAATTAGAGAGAGTCGGCTGAGATGGTTTGGTCACATTAAATGTCGACCATCTGATGATTATCTAATGATTTGGTTAGGAGAGTAGATGTTTTAGATTCGACTTATGTTAAGAAAGGCAGAAGTAAACCTAAAAAGACTTGGGCATATAAAAGACTTGGGCATATTGTAATATTGTATAAAAAATGATATTAGTTTTTTAGAATTAAATGAAAATATGACACTTAGGGTCTGTTTAGGATAGCTGCAGATTATTGATAATCTGTTGATAAACAACTGATCTAGATAAGCTACTGATCCAGATAAGCCGCTGATCAGCAGCTGATCGAGATAAGCTGACTGTCTGTTTGGTTTGTACGTTTGGATAACGACTGATTTACAACTATTTTTGGATAAATGATCATTCTGCCCCTATGCAGTAACGTCGTTTACGACAGAACTGTCATAGCTATAAATAAGATATTTTAGAAACAAATAACCACTTCTTAACAGTACAAAAAAAGTATACACCTCACATAAGAGAGAATACCAAGATTACTAAAAAAAGGAAAAATAATTAAATTAATCTATTAGTCGCATAAAATTACTTTCTTTGTATCTCATCTTCACCACACCCAATTACCCCTAAGTACTCACCACAACCTCTCCACAACATAATCAATAGATGTAAAGCATCATAATCAACAAGTGTTTCGCTACCAAACCCCCTCCCATATTGCAATGTGATGTAGCAATTCCAACAAGTAAGCTAGCATGTTCGACACATTAAAATGGAAAAGAAATAATGTCAAACACGTATACATTGCAAAACCAAAAATATCCTTAAGTATGAGTGGCATAAATACTATATAATAAATTGATTAACTTATTATTCTGGATAAATACTATGTAGTAAATAAAATTATCTGTTTGATTATTAATTTTTAAAATCTTTTATCATCATTTTATTTTTCAAAAAGTGAAATATAACTTAGCATGCATAAATAAGGTGTTAGGTATGTAAAAATTAAAATTTAGCTGTTAGATTTGTAAATATATAAAAATTAAGTGCTATGTATGCAAATCTTCCAGGAAAAATTTTAGCATAATTATGAAATTAATAAACAACGAACATATATATTTTTGATTAAAAGTAATCATTTTTAGCATAAAAATAATTTTCCAACTCGAATAACACCGACTCTTGCAAAAAGACACAAATAACACTGTTTAACTCACCAATAACACAAAAAACTAGCTAATAACACTGCAATAACACTTGAATACTACTGGAAAACAACTCCAATAACACCGGCTCTGACAAAAGGCGCGAATGACACCGCGTAACTCACCAATAATACCAAAAAACCTAGCTAATAACACCGCAATAACATCCGTATACTACCGAAAAATAACTCAAATCACCGGCTCTGGCAAAAAACGTGAATAACACCGTGGGATCTCACCAATAACACCAAAATAATCTAGCCAATAAAACCGCCAATAACACCATCGGAGGGCACGTGAGGGCAGAGCCGTAAACAATTTCTCTGAACGCGGCGGGAAGTTGAACCGACAGGCGACGTGTAATACAAAAGCAATATTAGCTTATCCTGCAACGCAGCGAAGCCAGAGAAAACAAACACCCATTTCAACGTTTTGAAAACGTCCCACAGCTGTTCTGCTGCGCCAAACGGGCCCTTAATAGGACGCAATGGAGCAAAAGGATTCATGTAGCCGACCCCACTTAGTGGGATAAAGGCTTGTTATTAATGTTTTTATGAATTCAATGAATTGATTTTGTTACAATTAAGATATATCTTGTTAATTAGATTTTAGTTTAGCAATTTCTTTTGCTAACTTCTTTGGGTTTTTACCTTCTAATTCAAGGATGCATTTCGGGTCTCCTGACATTGATTTTGTAAGGTGAATAAAACTTCTTAAAAATTTTTAAACACCGAAATTGGGTTTACAGATATATTATGTAATGCTGAATAGGTCGGCAATTTAATGTTTTTATCTGTGCTTGCGTGAAAAATAGAACATTAAAGCTCAATTATGCCTCTACAGGAGTCCATTGACATTGATTTCATATGGGAAATGCAGCTTCTATGGTGAACAAAATTTCTTATGATACAACTTTACGTGACTCACAGATGCAGCAGCTTACCACTGACACCATCATTGAGGTATCATTAGCTCTTTTGAGTTTTATTTTTGTAAATTTACATACATAGCATGCGATTCTTATGTATTTAAATATTTCACACTTAAACTTTCATATTTGCACACATAACACTTTGGTACTTTAAACTTATGCATGAAAAGGTGATCACTTTTAAAAAGTAGTAATACTGCTACTTTTGATGTGATATTAAATATTTAAGTGATATGTGTGTAAATATGGAAGGTTGAGGGTGAAATATATAAATATATAAGAATCGCTTGCATGTACGTAAATGCCCCTTGCATTTTTTAGTTCAATAATATGTTTGAAGTTTAACTGATGCTGTTGTAATTTTCAGGTAACTTTGGAAGTACCTTTCCTCTTTCGTGCTATTCCAGTTAATGCTATTGAATCGGCTGGTACACAGGTTCTAGAACAGATACTAAGAATAATGCTTCCAAGATTTCTAAACCAGGTGAGATCTTTTTTTTTTTAGGTGGGATCTTATTTTTTAATATTAAGTTCATAACTAAATTAATAGCTTCAAAGCGCAAAGTTTGATTTTATGTTCTTTTGTTTCAAGTCTTTTATGAAACTTACTGTGGTATGCTCTGTTTTGTTGAGCACTTTGATGAGTCATGCTATTGTCCATTTAAAATTATCTTTATTTTACTTTTCTTTCAAACAAGTTCCATCTTTATGGTAATATTAGAGGGTATGATTAGAACCTATTGAGGTAAGATCTTCCAAGAATTTTTGCTCATATATAGGTGCGACGGTATTTCACTAACTCTGCAATAATTCTCACTGTGGTGGACATGTTGATATTCTTCTGTAAGTTTGTTGTTCTTCATTAGTTGTAGGGTGTTGTTCTTCATTAGATTGGGAAACTAACACTATGACCTTAGTGTCTCAGAAACACGAGCAAGGTGCCTTCTCTAGTAATTTTTTTTATAAAAGAAAAGCAATTAAATAATGCCTTTGCTCTGGCCGGGGGTTACCACAACAATTCACTGAAATTGTTGTTTTTTGTCTTTAAATTTTACTTGGTGTGGTCAGCCGTGAAGTTTTAAAATCGTTATCTTAATTTTCTTGCAACGATTAGGTGATTTTTTTTAATTTATTTTTCTTATATGGGTATATTTTTCATGTTGATTTTTCATTTTTATGATACTTTTTCTTGTGCATTCTATATCATAGAGATAACCACATATATTTGTTTTCCATTTTCTAGTTTTTATGGTTGATAAGGTGGTTAATATTTTTAGCCATTTTGGTACTTATGATCAAGTTAATGACATTTGTTGGACTTGCATTTATGTCTGAATGTGATTTTATTTATGTTATTCTTCCTCGCGTAAATTAAATATAAAGTGGACAAAAAAAAAGATTTATTTTGTGCCCATTCTTCTACTTAGTGATAGATGTTAAAATTTAAATTTATTAAAAGTGCCTCTCTAAATTTTTTACGATATGCATTTTTGCATAAGCATCCTTTAATTGGAAGGAAAGCTCCTAGTTTCTTTTCTTTTAGCTTCAGTTATGTTGGAATAAATGGCTTTATTAATTGTGCGTGAAGTTTCAATATGAATCTCAGTATATTTTTTTCTGTCATGATGCACAGAGTTTTTGGTTGTACTAATGGTTGTTTGGTTATCACCGAACATCTTACTAAACATCTTAATTGTGTCTTTCATCTCAATTTTAAGTTCTCTTAATTGTATTTAAATCCACATTCTCTCATATATTCCTAGTACAAGAGCAGATTTTGCACTACTTTAAAAGACAACAACTTGTTGTTTTTTTCTCCACGTGACTAGATTGCCTCAATGTATGAAAAATATCTAGCTATTGATTTTTTATCAGTTACGACTCCTACCCAACTGACATATATGTAAATCTCAATCTCATGATTTTATTACTCTTTTGAAAAGTAAACCAAATCTAGGATTCATCTTCAAATATCTCAGGATTCTATTCACTATTTTCAAATAATCTTTATTTGGATTATTCATATGTTGGCTTATTACACTGATTGAGTATGCTATATCGGGTTTTATATGAGATAGGTAAAGTAGTTTGCTCACATGTCTTTGATATATTCATTTGTTAGTTGGATTGTTTTCTTTACTTCTGTTTAGCCATTTGTTGGAATTTGTGGGTGTGTCGACAGGTTTACATTCAATCATATTAGTTACCTAAAAGGTCTCAGATGTACTTCCTTTAGGATATGACAATTCCCTCCATAGACCGAGCCGCCTCCATTCTCAAAAAATATTAGAGATTCCCAAGTCATTGATCTTAAATTTTGTTGTCAGCATCCTTTTAAATCTGATAATTTTCTCTGAATAATCATCTGAATAATATCTACATAGCAATTTTGTCTCTAGTATTGGATTTAGCAAATAGTTAATGATCAGCTTGACGTTAATGATATCCATTTATAATTAAAATCATAGTAAATATGTTACACAAAGTACGAGAAGATTGCTTCAACCCATATAAGTACTTCAACTTGCAAACCAACCTATTGTTTCACCTATTTTCCAAACCTGGAGATTTATTCGTGTAGACTTCTTGATCAAATCCCCATTCAAGAAGTCAAGTTTGACAGCTAGTTGGTTTAAAGGTCAATCTTGATTTACTGTAAGAGAGAGTAGAACTTGAGCAATATTAAGCTTGAGAAATGATGCAATGGTTTTCTGATAGTCAATCCATGCGACTTAGTGATGCTCTTGGCTACCAATCTGGCTTTGAATCTCTCTACATTTTTATCTCCTTTTATATTTGACTTTGAATATCTATTTGAAGCTAATAAATTTTTTCCATGAGGCAACTTTGTAATTGTCAATGTGTTATTATTTTATAAAGCCCAATTATTTTTCTTAACAACTTGTTTCCATGCTGGAAACTTCAGAGCCTCTTGAATAGAGTTGGGAAACCCCACACTATGAGGATTTGTCACAATCCTGTAAGTTTTGTAAGATGGTAATAACTTTCCATACGTTTCATATATTTGGATTGGATTATCAGGGCACCTTCGAACATGAGGTAAGGAATTTATACCATTATGATATTAGATGTAAGAAGGACTTGGTTCACGTTATTTACCGTTCCTAATCTGCATGGTGCCTTCTACATGCTCAACGATTCTTTTTATTCTGGTGTAGGAACAAAATTCCTAATTATTAGAGTCAAGTTGAGTTGGAGTAGAGACAATTGAGGTGATTCTAGTGATAAGTTTGGCTCTTCAAGTGAAGCTGGTTGAGTGATAGGGTTTGGTTCAGTTTAGGAGTGTAAAGGAGTCAAGTCAAGCTTAGCTTGTTTGTCAAATTGTGAACTCTAGCTCGAGTCTAACTCGAATATAGATCTTGAGCTAGGCTGATAGTGTTAGCAACTGGCTCGCGAGCTCGAACTAAAAATTCAATTTCTCTAAGAGCTCGCCGAAGAATGTATTGGTGGCCGAAGGAGGATGCAGCTGCAGCTCACCGGAAAATGCATTGAAATGACTAGTGGTAGGCTAATCTAGCCGACTTGCAAGCCAATGAGCCTAGTCGAGACGAGCTCAAGCTCAAGCTCGTTTAATAAACGAGCTCCAGTTGAGCTCAAGCTTGGCTTGTGAGTTCATGAACGAGCCAAGCTCGAGCTAGCTTACCAGTATGCTCGGCTCATTTACACCCCTAATTCAGTTTTTTGAGTGATTGAATTTGATTCAGTTTAAGTATCTTAGAGAAGGTCCCAAATTTGAATTCCCTTGAATTCTCCCCCTAAATTTTAGATTTAGGAAAGTGAGATTGATTCTCAAAAAAAGGTGACATCCATAGAGTTAAATAATTTTTTTAGTAATTGGAGTGTAGCAATTGTATCTTTATTAGGTGAAGTAATCAAGGAATATACATGTGAGAGATTTTGGATCAAGTTTGGTGTTGTTTTGTTGGTGGATGTAAATAAAGGTGGAACACTGAAAGACTTTCTACTATAAGTCGGAAGAAAAAGAGTATATACGTGGATAGAATTTTATAAGAACATTACGAGGAATTTGACTTTTTAGGACATGACCAGACATTCTATTGATGAGATATGTGATTTTGAGTATGTCTTCCTCTCAAATGTGTTTAGGCAAATGATTAAAGATCGTAAAGTAAATGTTTGTTTTTTTTCTCAATGAATCCATTTTTTTGGGAATATCCACACAAGAACTTGTATGGATTATACCATGCTTGGAAAGATGAAGACCAAGAATGCAATTAAAATATTCCTTAGTGTAGAAAATAGCTTTGGGGATGAATACTTTCTTTGATTCTCTTATTCACATGTAGGGTAAATATATACAAGGAAAACAAGCTCTCCTAATTTACAAATTTACCAAAATACATATAACCTAAATTAGGAAATGAAATAATCCCGAAATAAAAATAAAATAATGTAGAATAGGAAGGGTATAAACTAATCAAGTGTTTCATGTTTTGTCCCAATTAAATCCTCCACAAAATCTTATCAAATTTTCACACTCCCCCTCTAGTTGGGTCGTAGATATTGTTGAGATCATGGTATTGAATAATGAAAATGTGCTTAAAGGAAGAGCTTTGGTGAAGACATCAACAACTTGTTGGTGGGTCAAGATGTAGCTTAGTTATAAAATATACATCCCCACCTCTTTTAAAGAAGATGAAGCATCTAACTTCAACATTCTTGGTCCTATCATGATGCACAGGATTTTTGGCAATACTGATAGCTTCTTGACTATCACAAATTATTTTTACAGGCCTATTGGAGGTACAACCCAGTTCTTCTAACAATTTTTGAATCCATAACCTTTCATAGATTCCCACGGTGAGTGTCTTATATTTGAATTCTGCACTGCTTCTAGAAATAACAAGTTGTTTCTTACTTTTCCATGTCACTAGATTTTTCTCATATATAGGAGCAGTAACCTTTGGTTGGATCTTCCGTCTGTGAGTTCTGCTGTCCAGCTAGCATCGATATAGACTTTCACATGTTTATTCCAGGTTTTTTCAGATTAATTCATAATAAGGAGTTTTCTCGAGACACCTCAAAATTTTGTACACCATCTCAAAATGCTCTTTATTTAGGTTATTCACGTGTTGGCTCACCATACTGATTAAGTATGAAATATCTGGCCTCGCATACGACAGGTGGATGAGTTCTTTTACCAATCTTTAATATCTTTCCTTATCCATAGAAAGCTTTGTTCTCCTCGATGACTTATAGTTGGGATCCATTGGAGTATCAACATCCAGTCATCCTTATTTCTCTTAATAGATCTCAGATGTATTTTCTCTGTTATATAACAATGCATTTCTTGGACTTTGTTATCGCCATACTTAGAAAATATCTCATAGTTCCTATATCTTTGATTTCAAACTCTATGACAAAACACTTCGTTGATCTTGAGAATCCCTCTTTTATCATCACCAGTAAGAATCATAGCATCCACATATATTATTAGTCACATATACTCATAGCATCCACATATACTATTAGTGCAACAACCTTACTTTTCCGAGTGTGTTTTATAAATAAAGTATGATCAGCTTGACTTTGAGAATATCCATTATATCTCATAGTTTTAGCAAACATTTCAAATCATGCTTTTGGCGATTGCTTGAGCCTATATAGAGACTTCCTGAGTTTGTATGCTAGGTGTTTGTTAGAATCATTCTCAAGTCTTTATGGTATCTCCATATATACTTCTTCTAGATCTCATTCAAGAAAGCATTTTTTATATCAAGTTGATGTAGCAGTTCTCATTCCTTGTTAACTACTATTGAAAAAAAACAAATGTTATAAAGGTTTCCTGATAGTCGATCTCATAAGCTTAAGTGAATTCTTTTGCAATAAATCTATCTTTGAATCTCTCAATACCTCTATTGGCTTTGTATTTGATGTTAAATAACCAGCTTTTTATCTTGACGGAGTTTAATGAGAATCCATGTACCATTAAGCTTTAATGCTCAAATCTCTTCTTCAACCTCTTTTCTCCATTCTGGGTATTCAATAGTTTCATGAATTGATTTAGAAATCTGCATATTATCAATGTTAGAAACAAAAGCTTTGTAGGATGAGGATAGCTTTCCATAAGCTACATACTCTTGAATTGGATATCTAATGTCTTCTTCCTTATCACCGCATCAGAAGAGGATGGGAATAACTCATGAGTACTAGACTCTTTACCCGAAATTTCAAGTGAATGTGAACTCGGGTTTTGTTTTGGGCAGTTCTGTTCTTGTAAGTTGTTTTCCACCTGTTCAATTCAATATTTTTCTCCCACCTTGTGTACTCCGAAAGCACTTTGTTCTGGACTTTAGGTTGTGTTGATTGCGTTGGTTTGGCATCCTCAATCAAGATAAGAGTAGATGGTGAGGCTGTGTACGTGACAGGAAGTGCATCCCAAAACTTGTTGGAAGAAATCTTAGCTTGCAAATGTTCAATTTTTGCAACTTTGTCTTCAACCTGGGAAAGTTTGGTTCCCACCCTTGCTAATATTTTTGTCAACTTTTTTACATTTCTTATTTACCTTTGTGGTGGATTATGAAAGGCAATTTATTGAGCCTTGAGCTGATTCATCAACAATAACAGTTGAGATCACATCTTTCTCACTAGTAAGATGTTCATAGCAATCATGATGATGAGATGATGAAAATATGACCGTAAGGTGTTGGAATTTTGAAATTGGCCAAGTGAACCAGGGCAGGATTGTAATTAAAGTTTATTGTTGAATACAAAGCCATCCAGGAGGAACAATGTAGCCCTGAAGTGGATCATAGTTTGGTCGAAATGTGTTTGTTGAATATGATGAGGAACATAACAAAAACAAATAAATAAATAAAAGATGATGATGAACATAATTTTGAAGGAATCATAATATCCTATTTAGTTGTAGCAAGGAGAAAAAGGAGGAAAAGAGTGAGTTAAGGAGGGCAAGAAGAGTTGCTTTACATTTACACCACCCAAATCATTCATTATCACATCAAAGATACCACAATTTAACTTTTAAAATGTAAAATATACCTTTTCATGCTTAGGTAAGGTGGCATATATGTAAAAATTAAACTTTAGGTGTTAGATATGTGAATACATAGGAATTGAGTGGTATGTATGTAAATCTTTCTTGAAACTATAACTAACAAGCAGAAATCACAGATCAAAACTGTAATATTGGCTATTTGTATTCATATAAAGCTGCTCTCATGCTCTGATCAAAATGTGCTGCTAAATTGCCAATTTCTGTAATTTCAGCTTGTGAAGGACTACCAAGCCTGGGCATCAGGTGACGATTCAAGAAAAGCTCTTGGGACCGGTGAAATCTGAAGAAAATATGGCTTCTTTTTTCTTTTTCTTAAATTTCTCATGTCGCTATTCCTACTGTGATCTGTTGTTGGTGCTCGTTTGCTCATGACTTCATTCCGGATGATCCGTGCATGGCTTTAATATGAATTCGCACAAATAAAATTTTTCATGCTTCTTTTCTTCTTCTTTTTCTTAGAAGTTCTTAGAAAAGAATAACTGTGGACTGTTGTCATATTTATGTTTTGCTATAACTTTTTTATAGTAAATCTGTTAAAATGTGGCATTCATGAGAAAATTGCTTTTCGATTTTTTCATGATAATAGCTTTCATATATATATATATATATATATATATCGCAACTAATTTGTAGAAGCCATTCTTGAAGATTGTTGCTTCATTTGACTTGCTTCTGTGATGTGGGCCATGTGGCAGCTAAAGTTTGAGTATGTGTTTGATTTTGATGTGCACTGCAAGCCAGTAACTTGCTTCTGTGATGTGGCAGCTAAAGTTTGAGTATGTGCTTGATTTTGATGTGCACTGCAAGCCAGATATCTATTGCAGTGTTGTAATTATTTTTTTTGGAAAAGGTGAATGCTCGGACTCTGCATCTTAAGATTCTTCATTTTGTTTTCGACTAACATATGATACATTTGAGCATTTGCATAGGAAAAGTGATTAGTACAACATTGCAATAGGGGTCTGGCTTGCGGTGGGATAGAGGTTTGTTGTTTTTGTTGTTGTATAATTAATTATTAATTAATGTGAATGCCTTTTTTATGCACTTTGAGATACTCGTTTGTATTTTTTTCTTGTTATTATTATTATTATATTTATTATTTATTCTCATGAATTTTGTTAATTTTTCCTAAAACTGTCAAACATCATTTAACATCAATTAAGTGAGTCTTAAGACAATATGTTTTCACCAATATAAAATAGCTTTTAATACCTCATGATTAAATGGCAAATAATCATTTAACATTAATTACGTGATCTTCTATTAAAATGACATACATCATGTGATTTATATTGTCAAAATAACTAAAAAGAGGAGAGGAAATTTTAAGCTAGTCATACATTAATAGAACAATTAGCTTTGACCTCGTTTTTATTCATATTCCGCATTTTGTCAGCACTAACATAGATGCCTGAGTATATAACTATATCCCTTCTTCTCTTTAAAGGGATGAGGGATAGCTATTGAATAGCATGGAGAATAACCTTTTATTCTCCTCCTTTGTTCATCTATTCATTTATCATCACATTCTTGTTCAGGTTAATTGATGATACAAACGAACCTTCTATAGCAAATCAAATTCGTCATGGCGTTCTCACATGAGATGGGTTCCATGAATTTTTAATTGTTGTTTGTTATGCAACGTAATAGAAGGCCTATCTCTAATTATCCGAAAATAAAAAATAAAAAAATTGTGAAGAGAAAACCATCATGCAAATGAAGGTTTTCCTTTGTGAGTATGGCCTTTATGATATAGGGAACGTGACTCGTTCTTTAAATTGAGGTGGTTTCAACCCATTCATCAAGTGTTGAAGCTGTCAAATAACCACGGGGTTGTTGGGTTCCCGGTTCATTGGGCTTTTATGCTAGGGTTTAGGGGGAGAGCTCAAAATTCGTAGAGATTCACAATGAAACACTCTTAACCTAAGAGGCTTTTCTCTAACACAAAACCTAGATTCATAAATCTCTATCGTCTGTACCTAAGGCTCGCTATGAATGAAAAATGCAAGAGCTTTTTAGAGGTTTGACTTTCATGACGTTTGGTGAAGTGTTCTCTTTACTCTCTCCTTGCCCCTACCTTGTTGGGGTGAAGCTCTCCTCTTCCAAAAGAGATTTGAATCTTTTCTTCTTCCAAGAAGTCCAAGAAGTTTCTCCAAGACTTCTCTCACACTTTCCTCTAAAAATTGATGGAGGAAGAGGGGCAAAAGATGAGGTTGATGAAGAAAAAGTTCCTTTTCTTCTCTATAGCTCTCCACCAAAATCCTAACCACTCGAAAAGCTCTCCTCCTCAACTCTCTCAGCAAATAAGACCCCTTCCCCAATTCAAAGGCTGGCTGGATCAAAGCGAAATAGAGGGAAATTCCTTTCCATAAGTTCAAGCTCTTTGGCCAATGCTTAAACCAAAATGAGTTCCTCATGAGGAATGTGATTAGACAATATTTATGGTAGGAGGCTAAATACTTTCATAAGACATTTCCTCTCCTTTCCTCAAGCTAAAATTTTGCTTCTATTGGGACAATTCGATCAAAAAATCAAAAAATCAAAACCTGGCAACTCCCGGGGCGCCTAGGCACCAGTGGTCAGGTGTCTAAGCGTCTAGGCGCCAGGGTCCGGTCATCTACTTTCTCCCCTCTCAAGTTTTGATGGTCGTAGGGGTAGCTTTGGGAGCTTAGGCGCCCGGGCTGGTGCTTAGGCTTTAGGGTCTTGCGCCTAAGCATCAAAACCGGGCGCCTAATTTTCCGTCTGGTCAAGTAACCCGATTTTGTAAAAAAATCTCCGTTGAAGGGTTTTAGCTATCAGTAAGCTATGAGAGACTAAATATGACTAAATATAGTCCCATAACTTCAAAAATGAACCTTTTATAGGTTTATATCAAGGTTTTTTTTAATGCTGTCGGACATCCGGAACCACTATGCAGATGTATTAGCCCGACTGATTTTACCCAAAAATGTGTGTGGGAGAACTTTATGACTTCCTTTGGCCATGGGAGGCTTTGAATGGATATGGAATGACCTCTAAACATCAAAACGATTAACAAATGTGTGTTGTATCAATACTAAAGCCACCCAACAACAAGTTTGCTTGGGTAATTCTAAGTAAACAGCACCACGAGTTTCTTGCCAAAAGCACATACCAGAGGGTCCAATCGATGTTGGGACTACAATAATCAATACATGCATCAAGTAAGGTTCCATAGTGCTTAAATTGACATCCTACACTTGAGACATTAAAAATTGATACCAACAAGCTCCTCTAAACTTCAGTATTCTTCTGACTCAAGATCTCCCCTCTCTCTCAATAGGGGGAAGGTAGGGTTTTATTTGTATAGTACGGGAGAGACCTATATGCAAATAAGAAAAAAATTCATACCACTCAATCGGATAGCCCGGAGCAATTCTCTCGATCGAATGACATTCGTTAAACATTTTAGTGTCTTAATAATGTTATAATTGAGCAATATTGGGCCAGTTGGATTTGTTTCATCTAAACGCTCAATTTGACTAAAATTTTATCAGATTTAGAGTTTGTTTGACTTTCCAATTATACATTGAAAGCTTCAAAAAAGTTGCTTATCTTCTAACTTGATCTGGGCTTAATTTGACTCGGACTGGACCAAATTTAGTACCGTTGTCTCTGTCATGTCTAGCCAATTAGTTTAACCGTAAGCTTGGTGAAATCAAACTTTTGAAAAACTTTTAAACAAAGTTTGAACTTTTTGTGCTACAAAATTACTTTAAGAATCATACAATAACTCGAGATTCATTACAGATTATGAAAATTGGTCGATGGTGTTTGACAATTTTAATATAAAAATTAGATCTATAAGACACTAGAATCATGTGGTATGCATGAAAATGCCTTAGTAAACAAACTATTTGGTTTTCAAATATATAGTACTGGAGAGACATATATGCAAATAAGAAAAAAATTCATACCACTCCATCGGATAGCCCGGAGCAATTCTCCCGATCGAATGATATTCGTTAAACATTTTAGTGTCTTAATACTGTTATAATTGAGCAATATTGGGCCCGTTGGATTTGTTTCATCTAAACGCTCAATTTGACTAAAATTTTATCAGATTTAGAGTTTGTTTGACTTTCCAATTATACATTGAAAGCTTCAAAAAAGTTGCTTATCTTCTAACTTGATCTGGGCTTAATTTGACTCGGACTGGACCAAATTTAGTACCGTTGTCTCTGTCATGTCTAGCCAATTAGTTTAACCGTAAGCTTGGTGAAATCAAACTTTTGAAAAACTTTTAAACAAAGTTTGAACTTTTTGTGCTAAAAAATTACTTTAAGAATCATACAATAACTCGAGATTCATTACAGATTATGAAAATTGGTCGATGGTGTTTGACAATTTTAATATAAAAATTAGATCTATAAGACACTAGAATCATGTGGTATGCATGAAAATGCCTTAGTAAACAAACTATTTGGTTTTCAAATGTTGAATTTGAATGTGTCTGTGAATTACACCCAAGAAATAGAGTGTAAGATAGGAGCGAGAGAGAGAGAGAGAGGGAGAGAGAAATGCATAATCATGAACAATAATTTGAATAATTGATTAGCCCTTTCACATGAAATGACCCCCCTATTTATAAAGAAAATTGATACAATATATCAAATTACATGTCTAATATTTTAGGTATTTTACATATATTAGGTCTTTGGCTCGACTACATTAAAAATCGGTCGATGGAAATTAGTAGGTTTTGGATTGGCAAGCTTTGTTCGTTTGTCTTCGCTGAATAGGGGTTGTCGGCTAGCCTTTGATGGTTTTCGGGTCGGTGAGACTTAACCAGATTGACTTGATTTTGTTGGTCGGCTGTGCTAGTCTCGTTGTTGACCATTGATCCCTATATAGGAAACTCATTTGGGTAGAGTAAGGATAGACTATCAGACAGAGTGTGAATCATTATAATCCAATATGTGGCTTAATCCATGTTAATGTGATTCTTTGGGGATGCTCCGTGTGGCTATGTGATGGTTGTTTATCGCCCTCTAATGAGAAAACTCGAGGGTGTCGGTAGGATAACTAGGGATGCTGCATTTTTGCATTGAATCAGGTTATGACGAGGGCAGGTCAGTGGCTCTGCTCGGCTCTATAGAATTTAGTCATTGACTCGGAAGACATTTGCTCGATCGACCTTTGACCACAACTTGAAGGGTTGCACATGGTCAGACACTTCTTTCAATATTCAACTAGTGAATCACTTTGCCTTATGATGATGAACGATTGGCTTTACGTTGATAGGTTTTTGATCTTTTGTCTGTAGACTCTCACTCTTTCATTTGTGCGTCATTGGTCTTTTGTCTATGGGATTTTTTAATGACAACTAAATTAAAAATTAAAAATTAATGACCAGGATAAATTTAAGTTTCCTAATTGAAAAAAAAAAAATCACCAGCATCTCGTGCACAAAAGTTACAATACAATTAATGGATGACGAAAGGTCCCGCCGAACTTGAGAGAGATTGAGCTTGGGACCAAAGCAAGAAAGCGAACAAAATTTTGTCTGATTTTGGATGGCTCCATCCCAAGGACAAGAAGTGTGGTTCTCTTCAACTTCTACTAATCTGTCCCCTATCCAAGTCGATCTCTTTTCTCGCAAATTCTGCTCAAAATCAAGTTTTGGATCGCCGGTTCTAATCTTTCTGGTCCAGTTTATTATTTTGCTCCAATGGATCTGTCTCGCCCCGAAATTATTCCTCGAAAAGGTTTTGGTTTGGGGATTGGGGTTTGAGTTTTGTTTATTTACCTCTTCTCTAACATGGCACTCGCCACGCAAATACACCTCGATCGATCAGCTGAACCTTTCTGTTCGGAATCTGAAATTTCTTGAACCTGTGGAAGTTCTCCACCTCCCAATGGACGGCATTAGGTTGAATTTCTGAGATTGTTTCAAGATCTTTTTAGAAGCAATAGCTGAAACCTGGTTCTTTCTGAGGAATAATGGCGATGGCATCAACCGCAAAGGTATGTCTAGGCAGTATCGCATTTGGATTTTTCTGGATGTTAGCTGTTTTCCCTGCAGTGCCTTTCCTACCCATCGGAAGAACTGCTGGTGCTCTCTTCGGCGCCATGCTCATGGTTATCTTCCGCGTCATATCGCCCGACGAAGCTTACGAATCCATTGATCTCCCCATACTCGGTCTTCTCTTCGGAACCATGGTCGTCAGCGTCTACCTGGAAAGAGCCGACATGTTCATCTACCTCGGTAAATTGCTCTCATGGAAGAGCAGAGGAGGCAAGGATTTGCTCTTTCGTGTCTGTCTCGTCTCCGCATTTGCGAGCGCTCTGTTCACCAACGACACTTCCTGTGTCGTTCTCACCGAATTCATTTTAAAAATCGCAAGGCAAAATAATCTACCCCCTCAACCCTTCCTCTTAGCCCTAGCTTCCAGCTCCAACATTGGCTCCGCTGCAACTCCCATCGGTAACCCTCAAAACCTAGTTATCGCTGTTCAAAGCAAGATTTCATTTGAGAAATTCCTGCTCGGAATCTTTCCTGCTATGCTATTGGGCGTGCTCGTCAATGCCACCGTTCTCCTCGCCTACTTTTGGAATCTTCTATCCATCGAAAGGGATCAAGAAGTTGTAGAAGAAGCAGGAAACTTGTTTGCTGAGAACGATGTGATTTCTCACCGTTTCTCGCCCGCAACAATGTCGCATCTTAGTTACGCAAACTCCGAGGAACTCAATTCCACCACCCTTGAACAGATCCCATCGCCAGTCATGGATTCTGGTCCATCTAATTCTACAAGAAGCAGACTTAGTGGAGGAATGGAACCTGCGAGGAATTCGAGCTCATCAATGGAAGCACTTGGAAGTACTGGAATCTCGCAGAGAAGGGAGGAAGGATCCTCCACAAGAAGATATTCTAGAAATATGAGCAGCCATAGTATTGATTCTTCGAGAGAAACTTCTTCGTCTTACTCTTTAGAAGAGAAGGATAGTGCAGCTGAGAAGTGGAAGAGGTGGATGTGGAAAACGAGCGTTTATGCGGTTACCATTGGAATGCTGATTTCTCTTTTAGTTGGGCTCAACATGTCGTGGACTGCAATTACTGCTGCTCTTGCTCTGGTGGCTCTTGATTTCAAGGATGCTCGTCCTTGCTTAGAAAAGGTAATTTAC